TGCACTCGTCTGAAAGACAAAGAGACAGAAAGTGAGAACTCACCCCCTGGGGGGGATGACCATGCCACAATCCCTTCTCCTCTATTTTCCTCTTGGACTCTTGGGCACACATGCACACCTGCCTGGCATGAGTTTTAAGCTGCCGGGTCCAGGACTTGACTACATGGTTTGACTACATGGAAGTCCAGCGACATAACCATTACGCCATCTGTTGGTCCCAATTAACAGTTTCTTAACAGACATCTTCTAGTGGATTAAAAAAGGCAAACATAATTGGTCATACTTTGTCAACAGTAATTCTTTTTCTTACGTGTAAAGTCCTCCAATTGGCAAGGTCCTGAAGTGAGCATATTGGAAAGGGAAGTGAGACATTGCTGCTTTTGTGGTCTTCAAGACATCAGAATATAAAGAATCACTTGATTCTCAGCAACCTTTTACAGAGAATCAAGAAAGGAAGAACCAACTCAAAAGCTCCTGTCTGCAGCTAAAATAGTCTAGGCTTATCAAATACTATTGCAAATCTTTATCAGAGAGGATTATCATAGAGAAAACAATTTTCCGTGCCTAAGAAATGTCAGATGTATGTGAACCTCATTTTCTTTTTTTTAAACTAGGTTTGTGCCTGTCAAGTACGAGCTACAGGAAAAATGTATGCCTGTAAAAAGCTAGAAAAAAAAAGGATAAAGAGGAGAAAAGGTGAAGCGATGGCTCTAAATGAGAAAAGAATCCTAGAAAAAGTACATAGCAGATTTGTAGTAAGTATCTTCTTTTAGTGTTCACTGAACATCGCTTGATTAGTAGCTCTCTTATCATAGACCTGCTGCGGGACATACTTTACTTGAAGCCATGGAAATCATCTGGCATGTTTCTTAGTTTAGTGTATGTGGAGTTTTGCGGTCTCCTGCTTGTTAACAGGTAAGAGGTGCTGATAGCTGCTTTATTCTTAGTAACAGTACTCTTGCTTCTCACTTCTGATTTGTTATAAGTCTATTGTCCACCTTCACCCATTTTGTCAATTACTCTTCATACCTTCCAGCTTGCAGAATCTCCAGGTTCCCCTGATCAGCATGGTATGTCCTGGCAATGTGTCCTTTCCTTTCCTTTTTTTTTTCTTTTTGGAGAGGTTTTTGCCATAGGATGTGTGCACTCGCCAGAAAGACAAGAGACAGACAGACAGATAGAAAGCAAGAAATCACCCCCCAGGGGGGATGGCCATGCCACAGTCCCTTCTCCTCCATTCTCCTCTCAGGATCTTGGGCACACACGCACCCGTGCCCAGCGTGAGTTTAAACCACCAGGTCCGGGACTCGAACCACAGTTGACTACATGGGAGTCCAGCGACATAGCCATTACGCTAACTGCTGGTCCCCCCTTTCCTTTTCCTTGTGACAGCTAGAGTTTGTTTCAGTTGGCTACCAGCCTCCAGTTGAATTCTGGTCCACGAGGGACATGTGATGTTTTCTGACAGAGAGATTTTTTGCAGTAGGGCGCGTGCACTTGCCAGAGAGACAGTGAGAGTCAGAGAGACAGAAAATGAAAAAATCATTCCCTAGGGGGAATGGCCACACTGCAATCTCTTCTGCAATCTCTTCTCCTCCTCCTCTACTCTCCTCTCAGGGTTTTGGGCATGCATGCACACATACTCGGTGTGAGTTTCAAACTGCCAGGTCTGGGACTCGAACTATGGTCTGCCATATGAAAGTCCAGCGTCATAACCATTACACAGGGCATGTGATTTTTTTTTTTTTGAGAGGTTTTCGCTATAGGGCACGTGCGCTCGCCAGACAGACAGAGAGAGACATAGAGACAGAAAGCGAGAAATCAACCCCCAGGGGGTTGGTCACGCCGCAATCCCTTCTCCATTCTCCTCTCGGGATCTTGGACACACACGCACACACGCCCGGCGTGAGTCCTAAGCCACCGGGTCCGGGATGCGAACCACGGTCTACTACGTGGGAGTCCAGCGACATAGCCATTACACTAACTGCTGGTTCCCCACAGGGCATATGATTTTGATGTACTTGAAAATGCTTTCTTTGTTTTCATGTGGGCTTCTCTCTTCGGCTTCAGTCTGTTTTCCGTCTTTTCCTTTTTCCGACACTTGGCAAGTTCACTGCTAGACCCTGGACTAAGTATATCCCACCCAACTGTATGAAGCCTCAGTTCTACCTTTGCTCTCTCTGGAAGGAATAGAATTTGGGTGGGCTGATGTGAGGTCAGAGGAACAACTTTATAAGTGTTGAGGTTTTCATCTCCAAACTATCAATAGTCTATCTGCCCTTAATTGTGTATTTCCTGTAGTAACCATTGCAGTATGAAGGCTGGTCAAAGGGAAAATGATGATTTATGATTAAGAGAATGATTTGTATAGTTGGAACTTTTTTCTATGAAATCATTTCTCAGCATTGAGGTCAGTTGCTTTGTGCTGGCACACAAATGTTACAAAACAGTATGCCTTCACTGCTAGATCTGAATTTAGTAACAATTTTTGTGCATATGGTATGTTGGTTTCATGTTCAATTTCATGAAAATCTTCTCTGAAATGGGTTCATCTTCCAGTGGCTTTAAACATATTTGCATAACTCTCTTAAAACCCAGAGGTCACAATCTAGCTTTATGCAAGGGCCATAAGTGGTTTATTCTATTTAGGTAATTTGGTTTCCTTAATGTTGGCCTCTCCTAAGTAAACCTAGGAATATTTCCCCTTACCTGTGATTCTGGTGTTTTTCTCTCTGCTTACAGTTGGCCAGTGAGTCCTGGCCTCTCCCTAGGTCACATTCATCTTCACAGCTGCCCTGACTCATGGCGGCAACACCTCTCCCTGGAGCTCCCTATCTCTGCTGCACTCTTACCCTTCCCAGTCTGTTCTCCATGGAGCAGCTCAGGCCATCTGTGAATTAAATTAGTTGGGCACTTTCCTGATTAAAACTATCCAGTAGCTGCCCATCATTAAGAATAAAACAAGGCTCAGTCCCTGCCTTTCAGGTACTTGGAGACCTGGCTTTTGCTTCTCTAGCACCCCATCTCATCCCACTGGCTATGCCACCTGACTGGAGCACGGCCGCCTCCTCTTGTCCTTGGGTCTCACCCCTGCCCCTCAGGCACTTCTGTGTCCATCACTCTGTGTAGAGTCATCACTATCCAGTGCTTTCCTTACGTTCTTTCATTTGTCTTCTGCCATCTACCCTGCCGCTCTGCAGGGTCTTATTCGCTCTGTGTCTCCAATGCCTAGAACAAGGTTGGAATGATAGAAGATTCTCAATATTATTATTGTTGGTATTATTACTATTATTATTTTTCTAGTGGGCATGTATACTTGCTTTAGGGAGACAGAGAAGGAAAGGAGAAAGCATCCCCTCCCCCATTGAGGATAGTCATTCTGCAATTCCTTCTCCTCTCCATCTCTCCCTTCTTTTAGAGTTTTGGGCATGCACACACATGTGCCTAGTGTGTTTCCCGAGCTGCTCAGTTTAGGACTCAAACCACGAGTGGGCCCTGTAGGATATGGCTGCCTCAGTCACCAGGCCATGAAGCCAACTTTCAATATTATCATGTGTATTATTTTAATATGCTAGTCATAAATATACTTCAACAATATCATTTAATATTATTTTAACATGTAAAATATTATTTTAATATGCATTGACAGGAAAGAAGAAAGAAGGGGATTCTTGTTAATCAAAGAAATAAGTAGTGAGAAATCCCTTGTGGTTTAACTCCATGATCTATTACATTGCTAGCCAGTGACCACAGAAGGTAGTGGGGACCTCCATGGACACTTCTTCCCTCTTTTCCTCCATTCTCAGTGCTTCCTGTCCTCTACCTGTAGCTGGCACTTTCTCTCTCACTGTTTTTTGGTGTGTGTGTGTGTGTGTGTGTGTGTGTGTGTTTGTGAGAGAGAGAGGAAGCAGGAAAGGAAATGATATATATGAATTATTTATCTTATTTTATTTATTATTACTATTTTTCAATTAGACCAGAGAAAGAGAGAGAGAGAAAGGGGAAGTGAGAAAGCAAGCTGCCAGGGCCAGGACTTGAACTGTGGCCAGCCAAATGGGGGTCCAGAGCCTCAACCTCCATGCCACCTGCCAGCCCCCAGAGATATATTTTTGATAGGATCTCAGTGTGTCATGATCCTCCTGCCCCAGCTTCCCAATTTCCCAGAATCACAGGTGTGCACATTTACACCAGGCACATCCAGGTTGCTCCTAGGAACCGTACCTGGGCCCCTCATGTGGCTTCCAGACTCCCAAGTGGTGGCACTTCCTGTGTACCACAGCTGCTGGCCCTGTTTTTCTTTTCTTTCTTTCTTTTTTTTTGTTGAGAGAGAGATTTTTTGCTATAGGGCACTTACACTTGCTAGAGAGACAGAGAGGCAGAAAGTGAGAAATCACCCACCCCCCCCACCCCAGAGGGATGGCCACACTGCAATCTCTTCTCTATTCTACTCCTGGGATTTGGGGGGGCATGCACACATAAGTGCCCAGTGTGAGTTTTGAGCCATGGGGTCTGGGACTCAAAGTGCCATCAACTATGTGGGAGTCCAACAATGTAACTATTACGCCATTTGCTGGTCCCTAAATTTTATTTAATTTAATTAACTTATTTATTTATTTGGAGAGGGTTTTGCTATAGGGCATGTGCACTCGCCAGAAGAACAGAGAGACAGAAAGTGAGAAATCACTCCCCAGGGACAATGGCCATGCCACAATCCCTTCTCCATTCTCCTCTCGGGATCTTGGGCACGCACTACATGTTCCTGTCATGAGTTTAAGCCATTGGGTCCAGGACTCGAACTGCGATCGACTACATGGGAGTCCAGCGACATTGCCATTATGCTAACTGCTGGTCCCCCAATTTTATTTTTTAATTAAGTTTTGTTTTCTTGTTGTTGTTTTGCTATAGGGTGCATACACTCACTGCAGAGAGAGGGAAAATGAGAAATTACCTACCTCCCTGTGCGCCGCTTCCCCCCCTTCTCCCCAGTGGCGAGGGGCACACCACAATTCCTCCCCCAATCTCCTTGGGATTCTGGGCACCCATGCACATTTACTCAGGGTAATTTCTTTTTTTTTTTTCTTTTTCTTTTACATTTTATTGATTCACTAAAGATCTTAATTAATTTTAAAACTCTCAATATAAGCACTGCTGATATATACATATCTATGAACACATGTCTGACTTTAAGCAGAAACCTCAGTGAGTAAAGTGAACATACTATAAAGCAGCATCTTGCTGGGACTATATAGCTTACTGCAGTCATTAAATAGATATTTTTTAATACATTTTTTTTTATTTCAAGAAAAACAGTTCTAGTTTTAATAGATCAAAAAATGTTAAGAGAAACTTGCTTAAGACTTAAAGTCAGGAAATAGGTTAGGATTCAGTTCAAATAGTAGGTAGATGAACCTATCAACAGTTCATGAGAAGACAATAATCCTTAACTATGGAAATCAAAGCATAAAAGAAAATCAGTAATGTTTTAGTCTAAAGTAAAGAAATTATATTTCACCAGTTCAGTCTCATGTAATTAATCTCTCTTCTATTGAATTTGCAGTGTTACTGTGGTCTGATCTTTCCATTTAAACTCTGGAAGTTAACATCAACTCCAAACTTGTCCCTACCATTAGGATGGCTGTTTTCTTGGTTGTTTTTTGTAATCTTATTTCTGTGATTCCGACTTTAGTTTTCCTGGTATAGCACTCCCTTCAGCACTTCTTGGCGAGCTGGCCTGGTGTTGGTAAATTCTTTCAAGTTTTGTTTATCTGAGAATGTTTTTGTCTTTTTTCCCATATGAAAGATAATCTTGCTGGATATAATATTCTTGGTTAAAATAATTTTTCAATGAACACTTTGAATATATTTTCCCATTCTTTCCTTGCTTGCATTGTTTCCAATGAGAGGTCTGACAGCCTTATGGGATATCCTTTGAAAGTAACTTGATGTTTCTCTCTTGCCAAATTTAGCATTTTGTCTGTGTCCGTGGTTTTGGTCAATCTGGCTATAATGTACATTGGAGAAGATCTTCTAGGGTTGATTCTATGTGGAGTCTTTTGTATTTTTTGGGTCTGGATATTTGAATGCCTGTCTAGGTTTGGAAAGTTTTCTTCTGGGATTTTGTGGAAAAGATTATCAATGCCCTTATTAGTTTCTTCACCTTCTGGGATACTGATTATCTTGATGTTTGGGTGTTTAATGATATCTAGTATTACTCATATGCTATTCTCATTTTTTTTGGAGAGATTTTTGCTATAGGGCACGTGTGCTTGCCAGAAAGACAGAGAGAGACACAGACAGAAAGTGAGAAATCACCCCCTGAGGGGGATGGCCACACCACAGTCCCTTCTCCATTCTCTTGGGATCGGGGGCACGCACGCACATGCGCCTGGCATGAGTTTAGGCCACCCGGTCCAGGATTTGAACTGTGGTCAACTACGTGGGAGTCCAGCAACATAGCCATTACGCCGACTGCTGGTCCCATTATTATCATTTTGGGGGGGTTATTTTCTCAGCCTTTTTGGTGAATTTTTCTAGGTCAGAGGTTCTATCTTCTACATCTGAGATTTGATCTTCTATATTATCTAATCTGCTTTTAATACTTTCAAGAGAGGTTTTGATTTTCTGTATTACAGTCTTCATCTCTTAACAATTCCATTTGATTCTTTTTTATGATGCTTATTTCCTCTTTTAGGTCGTGCAAGAACTTCCTCACCTCCTGGAACTCGTTGTGTCTTTTCTCCTACGTCTTCTGGAGTTTGTTGTGTCTCTTCTCTTGCATCTCTGTAAGCTTTGTGTCTATGAATATTTTAAATTTTTTATGTGACATTTCCACGAGTTTCCCTGTATTGTTTGTGGAGGATGAGGAATTATTCTTTTCCCTTGGAGGAGAGATATCTTCTTGGTTTCTCGTAGTTCTTGTGCCTCTTTGGTGGTTTCTGGTCATCTGATGGATTATATGTTTTTTCCTAGGCTTATTTTTTTTAGAGGTTTCTACTACAGGGTGCGTGCGCTCACCAGAAAGACAGAGAGACAAAAAGTGAGAAGTCACCCCCCCCCCCCAGGGGGGATGGCCACACCTCAATCCCTTCTCCTCCATACTCCTCCCAGGATCTTGGGCACGCACACATATGTGCCCAGCGTGAGTTTAAGCCACTAGGTCTGGGACTCAAATGGTGGTCGACCACATGGAAGTCCAGCGACAAGCCATTACGCCAATTGCTGGTCTCCATTTTTTCCTAGTTTTTAGAGTTAAATCTGAGCATTGAGAGGCATGAAGGATGAGGTGACCTGAAATCTCTAAACAGTACTGGTTTTCTCTCTTTGTGCAGCAGATTCCATGGAAATTGGAGATTAATCTGACCCTAAAAATATTCAGATATCTGGCTACCGTGCACCTAGACCTGTCTAGAAACTAGAAACTCAGTGTGTGGAGGCTGGATCCTGGCTAGATCTTGGGTGCAGGAGGGTGAAGTCTGGGAAGAAAGTCTTCAGTGGTCCTAATCCCCTCTTTTCTTTCTTTCTTTCTTGCTTGCTTGCTTGCTTGCTTGCTTCCTTCCTTCCTTCCTTCCTTCCTTCCTTCCTTCCTTCTTCCCTTCCCTTTCCTTCCTTCCTTCCTTCCTTCCTTCCTTCCTTCCTTCCTTCCTTCCTTCCTTCCTTCTTTCTTTCTTTCTTTCTTTCTTTCTTTCTTTCTTTCTTTCTTTCTTTCTTTCTTTCTTTCTTTCTTTCTTCTTTTTGAGAGAGAGATTTTTGCTATTGGGTGCATGTGCTATAGGGTGCATATGGAGAAAGAAAGAGACAGAGAGACAGAAAGTAAGACATCAACCCCCAGGGGGATTGGCTATGCTGCAATCCCCTCTCCTCCACTCTCCTCTCAGGATTTTGGGCACCCACACACACGTGCTTGGTGTGAGTTTCAGGCTGCTGGATCCAGAACTTGAAGGGTGGTCAACCATGTGGGAGTCCAGCAACTAACTATTATGCCATCTGCTGGTTCCATCCAATATGATTTTCATGCTGCTGGTCCAAGACTTGAACGCACAGTCAGTCCTGTGGGATCCAGAGCTTTAACCTCAACACCGCCTGCTGGCTCAGGCCTTACTCTTTTAGTGTACCATAAGCAAGTTGAATTTATTTTGGAAATGAAAAATCAATTCATGTAACTTGTCATATTACCAGAATAAAGGGAAAAAAATAGTCATCTCAGTAGTTACAGAAATAGCTTTTGATAAAATTAAATGACCATTCATGATTAAAAACTACGAGTAAACCAGGTTTAGAAGGGAACATCCTGCAAAAAAATAAATAAATAAATAAATAAAGTCTTTAGTATACATCATACTGAATATGGAAATACAGAACTCTTCCCATAAGATCTAAAATGAGAGTAGGATACCTGTTATCACCATTTCTATTCAATATTATGTTAGGGATTCCAGCCAATGCAATAAGATAAGGGAAAAAATAAATGGGATTAAGGTTAGAGAAGAGAAAAAAGATAAAAAACAGTCACTATTTTCAAGTAACATAATTTGTGGAGAGCACAAGTATGTGGAGATGGCCCCAGACTTTCTATAGAACCTATTGAGGATTTTGTCAAGTGATTAGACATGAATCAACCACAAACAATTAGAAAGTATAAATGTAATAGATTAAGAAACATTAAGGTCTCAGCAAAGATATAACAAAAATGTGTAAGATTTCTAAGCTTAGAACTATAAAATGCTGCTATAACAAATTAAAGAAGGCATAAGTAAGTGGAGTAAAGCCATATTTCTGTATGAGAAGATTCAATCTTGTGAAGATGCTGGTTCTCCTCAATTGATCTATAGATTAATGAATTAAATGCAGTCCCAATGAAAATCTCCACTGTGTGTATGTGTGTGTGTGTGTTGACATACAAATTACCAAGTGAGCAAAAAACTTGAACATGGATTTCACAAGAGAGGATATAGTAGCTAATCAGCATATAAAAAGTATGAGAAATGTCCCTATATTTGCATATTTGGAGAAATGAGCATTAAAATCACTGTAAGAGACCACTATACCTCTACCATGGCTCAAACTAAAAAGATTGTTAACCCAAAATGTTAGAAGGACATGGAGCTAGGAAGAGCTCTCTTACATTGCTGTATGGGATGTAACTTGTGTGCTGAATGCAGGTATTCTGGAAGTATGGAATGTTGGAGCTCAGTGATTAGCACATAGCTTGGAGAAATTATTCCAGTGTCTGTGTGAAGTTCTGCCACCTACTACTCACTTTGACATAGAAAGTCTCTTCTCTTGATGTTGAGCTTCAGTAAAATCATAGGTAAAGGTCCAAGAGGCACATAATGCATGGTATACATTTCTCTGAAGCATATAGTATTTGGATGTTCTAGTTGTAAATTGTGGCTTATTTGAATATTGTTAGTAAATAGACTACCTCACCAATGAATAAGCAGAGTTTTTGTTTGTTTATTTGTTTTTGTGATGCTGTTACCTTTAGGTTAGTTTAGCCTACACTTATGAAACCAAAGCTGCCTTGTGCTTGGTGCTAACCATTATGAATGGAGGGGATTTGAAGTTTCACATTTATAACGTGGGCAATCCTGGCTTTGATGAAGAAAGAGCTGTTTTCTATGCTGCAGAAGTATGCTGTGGCTTGGAAGATTTGCAGAAGGAAAGAATCGTGTACAGGTAAGTGTGGTGCTACCTTGTGGAGCCCATGAGCCTCGAGACCCATTCTCCCTGGGCCCTAGGCATCCCCAGGCTCATTCTAGCCACTTACAGGCTGAGAAGGAGGGCAGCTAGAAGCCCCTTGATGGCAATTCACTCACACTATGGCCAGTCATTGAAAACCATTTTACTTTCTTTTACTTCTAGTAGATTGTCTTTTTGAAGCAGAAGTTTGTTTTTGTTTGTTAAGTTGATCAAATAAAGGTGGTACTACTCACATAAGCATGAGATGAACCCATTTCCAAGATTCTTGGCAGTTTTTTTTTTTTTTTTTTTTTTTAAGGAAAGGAGATTTTTGCTATAGAGTGTATGCACTCGCCAGAGAGATAGAGACAGAGAAAGAGAAAGCAAGAAATCACCTCTCAGGTGGGATAGCCATGCTGCAATCCTTTCTCCTCTATTCTCTTCTTGGGATTTTGGGCATGTACACACACGCACTTGATGCGAGTTTCAAGTTACTGAGTCTGGGGCTCGAACCTTGGTTGAATATGTGGGAGCCCAGCCACATAACCATTACACTGTCTGCTGGTCCCTATTTTGGCAGTTCTGATAAGGATATTCACTATGTCCCAACAAGATAACATAACCATTAAATGTTTTATTTTTTCATCTTAGAATTTAAAAAAAAGTCAAATTAAACTTAATAATTAGAATTAGCTTTGTGGGGGCCAGTAGGTGGTATGGTAGTTAAGGCATTGAACTCCCACATGGCTGACTGCAATTCAAGTCCTGGACCTGGCGGCTTGCTTTCTCACTTTCTCTCTTTTTCGCTGCCTCTCTCTGGTGAGCACACATGCCCTGTAGCAAATTAAAAAATAATAATAATGGTAAATAAAATGAAATAATTCTAAAAAATTAGTTTTGTGTAATCACTGTGTTTAGTTTTAGGAAAAAATAGTTCCTTTTTCTATCCCTTCAGTGCTGATGTTCTAGCCTCTGAGTTTCCTGTGCTCTCCTGGTCACTTTCATTCATTCCGTTCTGTGGGTTTATCTACCAATTATATGCAAATTATTCCCTAACAGCTGTTCCTAGCCTTACCCCTTTCCCTAAATTCCAAAGGGTATTGTACATCTCTTGCCCTTATTTCCTAAACTCCCATCTAGTCGGTCACTGGTTCACTCATAAAAGCTCCCTTGGTAGGTGGAGATAAATTAGTCTCCTTAAAACCAGTCTTGCCCCTGTCCTTGTTCCATGAGATCCTTCGCAAGGCCTTTCTTTTGGAGAGGTTTTCGCTATAGGGCGTGTGCGCTCGCCAGACAGAGAGACAGAAAGCGAGAAATCACTCCCCAGGGGGGATGGCCATGCCGCAGTCCCTTCTCCTCCATTCTCTCGGGATCTTGGGCATGCATGCACACGCGCCTGGCGTGAGTTTTAAGCCACCAGGTCTGGGACGCGAACCGCAATCAACTACATGGGAGTCCAGCGACATAGCCATTACGCTAACTGCTGGTCCCCATGCAAGGCCTTTCTGAATGCAGTTCTAATTCCGTTGCATTGTCCCCTGGTGCAGGACCTGATAGCATTTCTTTGTCACCTTGTAAGGCAGCCTCTTGTGACTCTTCATAATGCAGCCCCACATCTTCAGACTCTTGTCCTGTTGCTTCCAATTGGGTACCTTCTGTCCTGACTAATGCAAATATTTGCAGTTTCCAGAACTTCTCAAATGTCCATCTCAGTGCCTTTGCATAAGTTATTCCTGTGTTGGGCATCTTTATTCACTATGGCCTCTCTTCCTATCATTCTGAGACACTCTCACTTTTCTAGACTGAGCCCAATGATGTCTTTCCTCCCTGGCAGCATGATTGTGTGGTTCTCCTCTGGCATCCTCATGGTACTCTCTACATTGTCCACTCTTGAGCTGGTCATGCCAGGCTATGAACTTCTTAGAAGTCTTTGACTATACTCATTCTTATGATGATGAACCTTGAGTTTTTCTTTCGCATATGTCTCCCATAGCCAAGTTAAATATTTCCCAAGGACAGGCACAGATAGTGGGCCTGATGTTGCTCCACCTAGAGCTGTTGAACAAGGGGCAGCTTACTGTCCTGGCAACGTTTCCTCTAGAGACAAAGGTGGTTGACTGAATTGAGGATGCCTTGTGGCTATTACTTAGAGATTGAGTTTGGTGGCACTGATGCATAGTGAAAACCTAAAGTTTGAGTCCTGTGTTACTCCTCGAGTAAATCACGTTTTAATAGATGATTACAATTAAACCTCTGTACTTGCCATCAGTCTTAAAATGAATTACTAGATTGGCTAGAAGATTCTCATTCCCATGATCCTTTCATCTCTGCATCTTATTTGCCTTCCAGGCTGAACTGGTGAGAGATGTGGTTGGTCAGCCTTAACTCAGTGGGAGCTGGACCATATCAGTCTCATTTACTGCTGTGTCCATAATACTTAAATCCATAGGTGTCTGTTAAATATATGTTGAGTGAATGATTGATGGCTTCCAGTTTCTAATGGTATCCACCTTTTTATCTTTATCTTTTAAAAGAAAAATTTGCTATAGGACATATGTGCCCACCAGAGAGAAAAGTAAGAAAGCACCCCCTATGGGGAATGGTCATGCTGCAGTCCCTTCTCCTGCATTCTTCTCTTGGGATTTTGGGCATGCACCTGGTATGTTTTTTAAGCTGCTTTATCCAGAACTCGAACCTACAGTCAGTCATGTAGGATCTGGTCATTTTAACCACCACACCAAAATATTTCTGGTTAGCAAAACCATTTCTTAATCAAAGAAGTCAACCTTTTATTTAAAATTAAACAACAGTAACAAAATGTTCACGTGTGTATGAATGTGTTTGCATGTGTGTGTGTCTAGGTAAGTACTTTCTCAAACTTCTTTGTGGTATTTCTTTTCTTTCTTTCTTTGTTTCTTTTTTAATTTTTCTGAGAGAGATTTTTGCAGTAAGTTGCATGTGTGCACCAGAGAGACAGAGAGGAAGAAAGCAAGAAATTCCTCCAGGGGGGATGGCCACGCTGCAATCCCTTCTCTTCCATTCTCATTTTGCGCTCTTGGGCATGCACACCCATGTGCCTGATATGAGGTTTAAGCCACTGGGTCCAGGACTCAAACCACACCATACTACATGGGAGCATGGGAGTCTAGCAATGTAACCATTACGCCATCTGTTTTTTTTTTTTTTTTTTTTTTAGTTTGCAAGAGGGTATATGTCCTCACCAGATATAGAGAGAGGAAAAGTACACCCTATGAGGCACATTCATACCACAATCCCTTCCCTTCTCCTCCATTTCTCACTCCTTTTGGGATTTTGCATAGATGCCTTTGTGTTTTTAAGCCTCGGGGTCCAGGTGTGGTCAACCATGTAGGATCCAGCTGCCTTAACTACCAGGCCACAGACTTGTCCTCCTATGCCTTTTTTTTTTTTTTGTCTATTTATTATATACAAGTTTGCACATTATAGGGAGAGAACCCCCACAGTGGTCAACAGGGCCTGTCCATTCCACAATTCTTTTTCCTCCAATTCTCCATCCTATCAGGACCTGGCTATGTGCATGCCCAGTGTGCTTTTCTTTTCTTTCTTTTTTTTAAATTTTTTTTTTTTTATTTTAAGGTTTTTGCCATAGGGCACATGTGATCTCCAGAGAGAGAGAGAGAAAGGGAAGATGAGAAATCACCCCCTAGTGGGGATGACTATGCTCCAATTCCTTGTCCTCCATTCTCCTTGCAGGATTTTGGGCATATATGCACACCACCTGGTATGATTTTTCAAGCCACTGGGTCCAGGACTCAAACTGCGGTTGACTATGTGGGAATCCAGCACATTAATCATCATAGTACTTGCTGATCCCACCCAGCATGTTTTTCACAGCTGTATGGCATCCAGCTTCCTCTACATAGCACTTAACTGCTGTGTTACCAGGCCAGCCTTTAAATGTCTTATAAAAATTACCTTAAGGGGACCAGCAGTTAGCATAATGGCTATGTCGCTGGACTCCCATGTGGTCGACCGCAGTTCAAGTCCCAGACCCGGTGGCTTAAAACTCATGCCGGGCGTGTGTGCATACGTGCCCAAGATCCCAAGAGGAAAATGGAGAAGGGATTGCGGCGTGGCAATCCCCCTGGGGGGTGATTTCTCGCTTTCTGTCTCTCTGTTGTCGGGTGAAAACCCCTGCCCTATAGCAAAAAAAAAAAAAAAAAAAAAGCAAAAACTCTCAAAAAAAAATACCTTAGGAATATACTAGCCGTAAAATCAGATTAATTGAAATCTTAAGTTAGGATCAGAGTCCATGAGTGCCCTGACATTATCTGGATATTGTCATGCAAGAATAATCAATGCCTTTGTAAATAGCATTTAGGTTTTGGATTGTAATTTCTGTTAATGTAAAAGCTTTTCCTCAGGGAAGTCCTTGGCCTGTCAGTGACTGGACAAGTATAACATCAGCCTTGTGCATATTCTTCAGCCTCTCTAATGAGGATGTGTTTCGATAGTGTAATTTCTCTCTCTCTCTTTTTTTTTTTTAGTTTCTTCTTTTGGAGAGGTTTTTGCTATAGGGCACATGCGCTCACCAGACAGACAGAGAGAGACAGAGAGACGGAAAGCAAGAAATCACACCCCAGGGGGGATGGCCATGCCACAATCCCTTCTCCATTTTCCTCTCGGGATCTTGGGCACGCATGCACACGCACCCAGCGTGAGTTTTAAGCCACCGAGTCCGGGATGCAAACCATGGTCGACTACATGGGAGTCCAGCGACATAGCCATTACGCTAACTGCTGGTACCAAATTTCTCTTAAAATTACAATAATTATTAGGTCATTAGAAAGTCATGATGCATAAGTTCAATAATACAATAATATCTGTTGCCTTATGACACAAATCCCCATAAGACCAAATTGAGACAAAACATATATACACACACACACACACACACCCCCATATATATATATATATTTTTTTTTAGATAAGTTAGTTATGCCTTTCTTTAGTAGAGA